TGGATAACTAATTAGGCTTAAAAGAAATCCATAATCACTGTCATCGATTCATACGTTCATGGCAAAAATTAGACAAACAGTTGCACTTTCTTTTCCTAACTGCAGAATGTTTGTGATTCTGTATTTTAACCATGTGCGGCATTTTTTGAGTCATCTCTACGAGAGGTGCTAGATAAATTACAGACTCTTATTTACCGAGTCACACATGTCAAACACATGCAATTTTTGTTGATTAAAGACCCTAAATTATCCTTAAGCGTTTATATGTGTGTGAATGGTTGTTGGTCTATGACCTTGCTTTGATGAGAAGTGAAACATCGCCTAAGAAGACAACCACAACAGACTATTTGCAATCGATTCAATGCCTTGAGAGTACAACCGAAGCCATCTAAGACGGACGGACTCCAGCACATTCACGACCCTGAATTGGATGACAGGTAGAAAATGAACGGAGTACTGGGGGAGAACATGAAAAAAGCAATGAGCCAGATGAACATAGCTCAAAGCTGGAAATTTGCAGGCAAGGATGACAACTGGTGGATTAATAGTAGAGGGCAAAAATGCAAAGAAAAAGACCAGAAAGAGGAGATTTTTTCCCCAGCAGAGGACTGATGACAGCTGACAGGAAGGTGCAGCAACATCAAGATGGAAAACGACAACACATGGGGCTTCAGATTTGCCTGAGGGCCGCCGCACACCGAGCGATGTGGCAGAACTCCATTCACACAGTGTGCGTTGTTCTGCCAGAAGAGTTCATAAGTGGCCATTGGTTTTGCAGCGATTCAAAATTTGAGTCGCAGATGCGCGATGTGGCGGTGTGGCAAATTATAGCCAATCAAAAGACACAGAAGCTTTCACACAGGTGAAAAATGACTTTCCGGGATACAAGCAAGCGCCGGGGTACAGCCACCCACAAAGCACCATCAAACAACAGAAATAAAATATGTACAGAACTCATATTGTGTTTTACAAACATACTTGACCATATTTATATTTCATCTGTACCTGTGGATGAAATAGTGAGGTTTGTTGTAAGATATAAGTAAGTAACGTACCCACCGCGCCAGTTTCTTTCAAATGAATGAGCACAAGCACCGCCTTTTAATATATCCCCATTTTTTCTTATTTCTTCCTGCCACTGTTCGCTTTCTGCAGCGTTTTCCTTGAGTGACACTCCATTTTCTTATGGATTAAAGCAATACGGTACAATATATTGTATGAGGAGCTTCAGAACGTGGTACAGGACCTATGCTTTGCCCGTGTTGTTAGTGAAAGTGTCACACGCGCTGGGGCCCAAGTGCAGCACACCGAACCACCGGACCGGTGGGAAATTACTTTTAATATGGATCTTGACAGGTTCAGTGACAAACGGTTGAGTGGCCACACAGTCAACCTCAAGTCGTGACACTTTTCAAAGTCCCAATACAGAGTAGATCACTTCGCAGACCAGACAGAAAGGCTTTGAAGATTGAAAATTGGGTCTTAGTACCAAGTGTTGAGAGGCTGCGCAATCAACAGAATGCAGAACAGGGAAACACACACTTTATTACTGTGGAACCGCTTCTACCTTCAAACAGCCACCGGGGCCTAATTCGTGGTTGGGGCAGAACCCTGAGGTGATTCCAGGTATAATGACGAGGCAGGAAATTCAGTGGCTGCTGTGTCGGTCACGTAAAATCAATCCATAGAGATGGGTTGGAGAGTCTTTTGGTACACATATAAAAATAAGTGGCTTGTTTTTGTCCCAATGTTGGCCCTTCCTCAACAAAGACAACAAACACCAGGTTACCTTCCGTTTTTATAATATTAACCTGTAAGATTGTGGTTTCAGGTGTGTTAAGATTGAATGTGCCCCGATAATAGAGTCCGATATGGGTGAGGACGCCAATCTTAAATATGAAATATTATGACACCATTTTCCCCTATGCCCATTTCTTCTTTTTAGTTAGATATTTTTCTGTAAAATAAATAAATACATGTCCCAAGAACACCATCGTTGCCTCCTCTCGCGTATCCTCTTCATGTTGTGCCTTGTGTTGCACGGTTGTCGCTACATTTCTCATTCATCATTTTTGTTACATCATGTTAGATTTCTGTCTGATTGACTCGATTCAAAATCGGTGAAGAAACAGAATCTTTATTTGTTTGGTGTGCTGTGTTGAGGTGATTGGAGCACACCTCACACAGTACGATCAAAACTGTTAAACGCATGATTTTTTTCCCCCCCTTACTGCGTGTGGTTTATTACTGATAAACAATCTGTGGCTGTGGCTAACTGGCTGTGACTGGTTGTTTGGCCATGAACTGTGTAAAGTTATGCAGAGTCTTTGGTGCCATTGCTGCATTGAGCACAAGTTTTTCCCCTCAAAAGTTTTGATCAAATTTAAGAGTAAAAGACAATATTTTCAAAACTATGTAGGCACTGTTCTCTGTTTCTCTCTAACCTGACACATTTCTACATTTGAATGAAGCAGCTTGGATGAATGTTGATCCATTGTTTGGATCATCAATCATCAATTGGCTGTTCCCCTTAGCTCTGGAGCCATGTTTGCTCGAATAAACCTTATTGACCAAACTAAACTGGTATGGTGACAACCAGCATAGCAGCAAGAAGCAGATGAAGTTGACACTAAGGCCATTCCCAATGTGGCGCCAGCTCCATTGGCCATAGTTATGGTTTTTCAGTAATTCATTGATTAATTGCGGATTGCCTTATATTTGAAGCTTTTCCATTTAAAAGTGTCTCGTGTGTTTTCATTCCCAAAATATTCACAAAAGTAGTTTTCAATGACTTGTTCATTTGGGTTGGTGGATCTGGATTTTAACCAGAATCGTTATTAAATTTAAAACAAATATTTGTTTTGGCTTTATTCTTGTCATTATTGACAAGAATTTTCCAATCAAGAATCAAACCAGAATCAATATTATATTATGATAAAATCTTCCAGAATTTGTATATTGCCAGAACTGGTTTATCGTTGTTCCAGGGGAAATTTCACAAAACGTACCATGTGCTGTGAACCAACTTCAGTGTTAATAAAAGACCAACAGAGGGACATAGTTGCACATGGTAAGTGATGTGGCTAAACTGAGTCAAAGAAGAGAGAGAGTATTGATTGAATGAACAGAAGGTCCATCAGCTTACAGAAATGAATAAAACTATGAACACAAGCTCATTGTTCACGAAATGACTCGTCAGTATATGAACAAGACAACAACTATCAAATGTGTGTTTTCTTCGATAAATACATTTGCATTACCTTTTGCTACGGAAAAATCAGGCTTGATTTATGAGGAAAAATCACCATCCATTCGTTGTCCTGAGCAGGGTCACGTGCTGGGCGCTATCCCAGCCGACTACACCCTGAAATTAACGCCACTTTTCCACACCCACAGCGTCACTGAGTGGGAACCGATTCCACGCTGCCCGGACACAAATCAGGCGAGTGCACCGTTACACCATCAGCGAATCCCAATACAGTATGATGAACTATTATTTCCAAATAAATATACGTCTGCGTGTTTATTTATAGCTTGACATCGGGTGAGCTCTGTCGGTGACGCGGAATCACTTTACTGCTATGTTTCCACCTGCTCAATTTGAATGGGATTAATTATATACATGTATGTAAAATAAATAAAGTCAAATAAGAGACTGTGCGTTTATTTTGCCAAACGTGACGACAATACTCCATAAAATGGGCTCTGGTGTTCATACCTGTCAACTTTTCGGAGCGCCAACATGTGTAAACTACCAAAAAATCCTTATAAAGAGCAAAAAATCCTTATAACATACCAAAGCATTTTTATATGTCAAAATGACGGCAGAAAAAAAACCCACGAAATATGAATGATATATTTGTTTCCTTGTAGAACTTGCTTGTACACTACCGAAATATGCAATGAATACTCTGCTGTTTTCAACTAGGAACCACGTGATTTACTGGAAAGTTACCGGAAATGAAAGCATTAGAGTAGACTAGCACCATTCTGGGCAAAAGCAAACGGAACTACCTGTTAGGGGCAAAAAAAAAAAAAAACGGAGATTTTCAGAATCCGTATGATTTGTGCGATATGGCCATATACGTAAGATTCACCACAAAATCCGTATGAACGATGGCTAAACCGTATGAGTTGACAGGTATGGGTGTTGATAAGGTTTCACCTATTTTCTTTATTAGTGAAATACCGCCCTCTGGCGTATGTATTGAGTTGAAGCCGCAATCGGTTGGCATCTTGACAAAAAAAAAAACAAACCAAAAAAAAAAAAACATTGAGGCGACTGCAGGCTGCCTTGTTCTCAATAATACAGATGTGACCCCATCGCCCCCAAAAAGTACGGTACTGTATTTCATTGCAGTCATCGAAGGTCACAAAGGATTGATTTTTTTTTCTTTGCAATCACTCCGTTTTGGATAAAATTATTCAAATCGGAGTAATTTAGTAGAATAGCTCATATAACTTAAAAGAGGAAGTCAGCTTAAAATATGTTACATTATCTTACAAAAATGTAGTATTTTCTATGCAGTTCCATTAGTCTAAACATGCTATTTTGATGAATATTGCATGGGTGTACTATGAATAAAGCAGCAAAATCCACCCATTTTATCCTTCTCATTTTGCTACTTACTGTGGATTGAAAATGACATCGGTTTCATATCTCAGCTTGCTCGGGTCACACAATCAAACTCAGAAAACGTGTGGCAGAAAGGCTGCCACCCGAGATGGATAGAAATGGGCAGATTTTTATGCTTAATTCATGCTCCACAAACTCAATATTTATCAATACTGTACAGTGTTCTGATTAGTGGGGCCGCATCAACCATACCATACTGTAGAATTTTTTTTTTTTTTACTTCACCTTGTCGATAAGATTCCATCTGCATTGAGTTTAGAAATAACGTTCTTGTACGAATGCAGTTATACCACTGATTTACTGCACATACACAGTATTTCTTTTTGATGGTCTGCTGAACACCATTTTGACCCAACACTGTCACTCAACCAATATTTGAAATGTTTTATTTCACAGAATTTAGGACAACCAACTGCATAAAATAAAGGGGAACAAAAACAGCAATTGAAATTGCACTCATGTGATTATTTTTTTTTTAAATAAAAAAATATCCTTTCCCCTTGTCCATAAACTGTTGCAAAAGCAGAATAAACAGAAATTACAGGGTAAATTCAGAGAATCTGAAAGGCCAATAGCATTTGTTGGCAAATATAAATATAGTGGTTTGAACTGGGTGCCTTCACAGTTCACATGGAAAGAGTGCATACATACAGTTCACGCGACAGTAGGACACTCGGCACTGCCTGTATCAATCTTTATTAATGTAGAAAACCAGGATCTTTATTTGACAAGGAAATATATATATACATTCAGCCAGTTCTGTGGAGTATGATGTTTGTGTTGCCCCTTACAACAACTTGCTTGGCTACTCAGGGGCATAATTGTGAGAGTATGTGTAGTCTGTGTAGTAATTTTGGGTCCCACCCCTTCCTGTTGGGTAACCCCAAGAGCAAGGACCCCCTCTAGGTCCATCCGCTCGTTCATGTCCTCGCCCCGGTCCTGGTCGTGGCCAGAGTCCAACCCGAGGAACTCCTCTCCCCCGGAACGGCCCAGGACCCACAGCACCCCTCATAGATCCATGATTCATCGGTGCGGGCATGGCGCCACCCACATTGCCGAAACCCATGCCACACATTCGCTGTGGAGGAAGTGTAGGTCTGACTGCTGAGCCCCCTCTGGTGGCTACTGTGGGAACACCCACAGGAGCCCCAGGTTTGTCAGTGCAATTCACTTGAGTCCTGCCACTCTGACATGTGGCCTTGATGCCGCCAAGGCCTTCCCCGCTCTTGGGCAGTACAGTGGGGTCCACTGGGCCAGGCGTAACCGCAACCTGATTGCTTGCAGTCGGAAAAGTGCTGGTCCCCGGCGGCCTCCAATTCCCCTCCCCGGCTCCGCTAAGCGTCCTGTCCGCATGTTGTGCTGGGCTACAGCTAGCATTGATGGGAATGCCAGTCATGTAACTTTGTTTGACTGTGTCACTGTTGTCTATGTAAGGTAGGGAAGGGGTGAGGGGAGGAGTCCCGGGAACTCCAGGTCCTGCGGGGTCCGAGCCATACGTGTGACCGAGCATCATGAGGTGAGGCGGAGGAGGGGGTTTGACCTCTAACGGGAGAGAGGCCAGATTGGCGAGAGGTCCTGCTGTGGTGTTGACAGTAGGGGGGGTTGTCGTGGTCGGGACTGTGGCCGGGGGGCGGTACTCCTGTTCTTGGTTGCTGCTGCAGGGTGAAGCAGGATAGGCCGGGGAGGCTGCATAACTGGACGAGCCGGTGTAGGAAGACCACGGGGCAGAGGGACACAAAAAACTTTGGTGGGGATTGACGGGGAAACCTCCAGGCGACGCGCTTCCCGTGTCTGAGGAGCCGATGCCTAACTGGTTTGCGGCTTTGAACTGAGAGATGGCGGTTTTGAGAGCGCTGTAGTCGGACTGTGGCGGAGTTCCATCAGGGGTCACATGATGGTCGGGAAGCGGTGGACGGAATTCTTCCGTGTTTGGGAGGGGCGGTTGTGGTAGCATCATTGTGTCCGCTTCGGGGTGTTGCTCTTTGCCATCGACGACAGGGGGCGTCGCACCATCATCGGAGTCTAACGACATGTCCTCCTCTCCCTCGCACTCATCGTTCACTACTGAGAAGACAGAAGGGGGTCAAAATAGAAATGTGTGGGTAGCAGTGAGGAAAACAAAACAAAACATAAAAAGTTAATGTGCAGGTCTGCATACAAGACTGATGAGAGAGTGAGTCAAACAGAATTAGAGGCGCAATAATTAAGAATAAACTGACGACTGATCTATTTTCAAATGAATCGACTGGTATTTTGATAATCAACTAATTGTTCAGACGTTTTACCTAAAATTGTCCAACAATACTGATTTCGGACTCTCAACAGTAAATATTATCAGATTTCTGTAGTGCTCTATGAAAGCAGACTGACGCCTGCAAACAGTTGCTTTTATTTTGGAAAACAATGAACAATATTTTTGCCTATTTTCTGCCATGATGGAGACAAAAGCAGTGAGTAAATCATAATCAATTTATGTTTGTGTATAATCTGAGTCAACGATTCACTGAAAAAAAAAGAATCCATCAGATGACTCGATTATTACAATAATTGTTAGTTGCAGCCCTAAACAGAATACAAAGGACACTAGCACAGAAAAAGACTTGTTCCACTGGTCAATGGAACTACCCACCTGTAGAGGGCGGTGTTGGGAGCTCATTTTGATTGATGGACCCAATAAGGCTGTGGAAAGCACTCATAATATCATCAATGCTTGCTATCATTATTCCATTCCTGGAATATTGAAGGAACATCTCAAAGGGCCTCTCTGGGGAAAAAATAAAATAAAATGAATCCAAATAAAACCTGTTTAGCAATTATGCATATTCCAAAACTTGAGTTCAATTCAAAATAAAAGTACCTGTGACGAAAATAAGATGACGCTGTTGTGTGTGCTGAGCTTGCAGCTTAATCAGGCAGTCGAGATCGGGAGCCTGACGTGACTGGGCGTCACATTCGTGGTAAGGAAGGAACTCTACTAGGTGCTTCTTTTGATAGGTTGTCAGAAGGTTGAGTAGCCCCATCGCGTTGGTGTTCAACCTGTGACACAATCCAATAAGTCAGCTTCCACAACGTCCTTCTACTTCCATCAAAGCTCACAGTTTGTCCAAGAAACGCAACCCAAGGATTGATGATCTTTGGGATGGGTTTGGTTTTGGATGAGCTCAAACTGACCGGCCCATTTCTTTAAGCTTCTTCTGTGACTTGCAGTGCACCTTCCACTGCCAGGGCTGCTCGGGAGTACTTTGTTCCTCCAAGAACTTCAGTAGTGCCTGCAAGCGATCTGAGACAAAAATAAACAAAATAAACCAATAAATAAACACTTGACAAATAATGATGTGTTAAGAACAAGAACTAACCCTGTGTGATGAGGTCAGGATTAAGAACAAACTCGTCGGACACCAGGAAGCCTCCAGACAAAAACAGTTCATTGTAGGTGTGGTTCTTGACATCGTCCAGAGTGTCGACACCAGCAAAGCTCACAGAAGGCAACTTCTTCAAAGACACCAGTGCTGGGATCTACAAGTTACAGGTGAGGGCCATTTTGGTGTGATAATCAAGCCATGTCAGTGATAAATGTTATATTTAAAAAATGTACTAACTAACAAGGGGTCAGTAGTGCTGTTAAAAAAATAAAATGCAGAATGCAGCTGAGACCATGAGGATGTAACATTACCTTGTGCACATGTGCAGCAATGTGTTCATTCTGAATGATGATAAGCAGTTTGTCTAGACTGCTGCTGTTTTCCAGAAACATCTGCGGTGTGCACTCGCTGTTGCCAAGACTTTTCAAGTATTCCTTCAGGACAAGCAAAAACATCATTATTTTCGAATAGGAATTGTAGTCACATGCGCGCGCCGGCCAATGTAAGGAACCATTACTCGGACGGCACATTCGCAATGTTGAACTGTCTTTGTTGGCTTTATGTGATGTTAGGACATTTGTTGTTGTGTTTATTGCAGTCATTGTAAAGTGTGGTACGCAGGCTCCCCTTTTAGTGGTCCATGAAAGAATCACTGAATAAAAGGCCTTTTCACACTGCACTTGCTTTTCTTGGTTCTTTACTGTCATGGCAGGGAACAGGCACGACGGCACTTCGGTACAATCGTGCCCATATTTAGAAGGGGTTCCTTAGCAGCCTACCAGGAGGTAGCATGGATGCTTTTCCCAGCGTGGGGGGGCGTGATCTACTGCTGTAACCGCTCTGAAGTCACTTCGCCAACCCCTCTCCTATTGGATTCGCCCTCACAGCACATACACCATGAATGGGTTCGTTGACGGTGCACTAAACCCTGCTAAGTGCAGAATGAAAAGGCCTTAAGACAAAATTTGCAACTTTTAAAACATCAAAAATCATTAATCATGTTATGGGGAGCAGTCAAGCAGTAATGATCAATTTCCAGACTTATAGTTAATATATTTTTCCCCTCAAGTTTCAACAGTGTGTCATTACAATACTCACCTAAATATAAAGTGTTTAAATATAAATTTTTGAACGTGTCCACTTTCTGTCAGCCTTTTTGGTAATGATGTCATCATTGCATTTTCATCAGAATCGAAGAGCTGTGATTGAAGTTCTTGTTTTGGAAGGGGAACCACCAAGATACATGTTCAAAAGATTGGAACTTAGGTCTCATCGCCTGTCACTATAGAGTTGAGGATAATTTTGTCACATTTCTGACACTCAATAAGAGCCAAACAAGATTCAAAACGGGCTTGTTTGTGGACATATTTAAGTTCTCTTGGAACCCGCCTGGCTGGCACCAATCTTTGTAAAGCCTAGCTCCCTCACAATATCGCAGCACTTCCATCCATGCCTCACTCACAAAAAGTTCAGCAATGTCATCAGTAAATTGGCTGTGCTCTTACGCGCTTTTCTACTTTTGTTCTCCAAGCGCTTGACACTGTTCCCTCACTTACCGACTGATGATGCAGCATCAGGAGCAACTGGGGGGTCAGTATCTTGCTCAAGGACACTTCAACAAGGTCGCAATGGTCAGGGATTGAACGCCCAACATCTGGGTTGGGAGACCACCACTCTACTACTGAGCCATGCCGCCCCGATAATTCCAATTGTGCTACCTTCTCTGACCAGTTGTTCTATACTAGAACCATTTCCAGAATTAACCGCTGAAGATGGCTTTTACTTCTTTTTCAGTCCCGGAGGTCATTGGATATTCTTCTTCACCTTTGATCCTGGATACCCACTTTTTTACAGCGCTGTAGCCCCATAAACCTTTTCCATCTTTGAAAATGTTCCCCTTCCAAACAAGGAGTTCAATCAGTGCTCTCTGCGTCTGTCTAACATCCAATGATGAAATAATTTCCATAATGGCTGACAAAATGTGTATACTTGCAAACAACATTTTGGAAGTTGATATTTAACTGAGTAGTTCAATTCCTCACTGTTGAAATTTCTAGACAAAATATGAACTGTTAGTCGAGTAAATTCAACATAGCTACTTTTTGACTGCCACTCTCATAGAATGAACCTATGCATACAGCCTTTATCTATTTACAGCCTTCTCATTACCTCTGCATCCCGCGTACCAGACACATAATTTTCCCGCGGGACGCACAGTTCCAAATAATGTGCGTTTTTGGGACGCAAGGAAATTTCTCAGTCAAAACAAAAAAAAAAAAACTACGGTAAATCTTTTTTTCCAGCAACGATCGCAGTTTGACCATCGATGTTGATCTCGCGTTTAATAATCTCGCGTGACAAGATTTTCGTTCTCGCGAGACAAGATTGGCGAGCTTGGCCTTCACCTCGCGGGATGTAGACGATTGCCAAGTTGTGTAACGTTACAAGTGTTGCAAAAGTTTATTGCGAAGATATCACAGAGGAAGCAGATAAGTTGGATAGTTTTTTGTGATGATAAGTTGACTTTGAGTAAGCCTTGCATCATTGGAAGCAGAGTAAAGAGAGGAGAATTTATGAACTCAAAGACTGAACCATGGGATGAAATAAGAACCTATTTCTCAGCAAATCCTGTATGCCTGAATTATTAGAATTTTTGCAGCATTTGTTTAAAAGAAATAAACCTATTATCAATGTATATTGTTGTTGTTTGTGTTATCATATGCAAATGAATAAGTAGACCATTTCAGATTTCAAAATTTGGGACTCTAAATGCATAAATGGGACTCATACTTTTCTGATCAGCGATTCCCTGGGACTCGCAGGGCTCAAACTGTAAAATTATCACTGTACAGTGATCCCTCGCTATTTCGCGGTTTGTTTATCGCGGCTTCGGTGCATCGTGGACTTTTTCCAAACATATTCATTAAAAAAAAAAAAAAAAAAAATTTAAAAAAAAAGTTTTTTTCTTCTTCATATACATGGAGTACAGTCCTGTATATGTTGCTCTATGTGACTCGCTGTTGTTTTGCTGACTTTCGCAGCTTCTCGCGGACCGTTTGCGGACTAAAAAAAAAAAAAAAAAAAATTATATGTTAATTGGTCGCTACTTCGCGGATTTTCGTTTATCGCGGGTGGTTTTGGTCCCCATTAACTGCGATAAACGAGGGATTACTGTATTTATTAATTATTTGTACTTGTCGATCCCCATCCCCACCCTCCAAAATCCAAGGGCAGCAATAACGTTCAAACTGTGCATAATGTGACACAGGAAATTACTTTTGTGGAATAAAACCTCTACATTCGGATGAAAACTTTGGTCTACTATGTTACTGTTTGTCATTATGGTGGTGCAGCAGTATTTTTTGAGGCGGTACTTGGCGTGAAATGTCTGAGAAGCACTAAATAGAATACTACTGCACAGAATTTTTACACGACCAAGTTTGCACTTCTGTTTTCAAAAGGCAGCAGTATATAAAACAACCCTTGTCATGGCTCTCGTCTTAACCCTTGATGACCACCTAAATGCAACCCGACACTGACTTTCACAGTACAATGAATTAGATGAGAAAGGGGCATTTACCACTATTTTTGAAAGAGTTGTACCTTTATCTCCTTGCAGACGGTACTCTCCTCGCCCTCATCCCCAGAGTAGATGTAGAACTTGACTGTATTCTTGGTGACATCCTTAAAGATTTCCACCAAGCTGCTGAAAACTTCTGGTTTTAGTTGACCAATGAGGCTGCCTGACATGAGTCCGGTACCAGTGCTGGCAGTGCCGGGACCAGCAATAGCGCCCGAGGACATGGCAGAAATAGACTTTTGCGATTTCGCTGATGACTCTGGGGGTATCTGGGAGGGAGAATAAGCCTCTTCCACAATCTCTGCTGAAGCAGGATCTGACTTAGCCACGCTTTCTATCACCTCTTTTATAGGACCTTGACTACTAGTCTGAGAAGAGTTCATCTGTGGGGGCTGTACTTCAGGTTTGGAAGTTTGCACTGATGACGGCATTGGTGAATCTGCGATCGCCTCGGGTGGCTCCGGGGAAGAGGCCTTGGGTGAACCAGGTGGGGCCGGGATCAACTTTTCCAACTGCCCACTCAGTGCTTCGACATGCTCCTGCACGGAGACAGGAGTGACATGCTGGTTGACAAAGTCTGAGAAGCAGCTCCTGCTCTGCCAGGAATTAGGCAGAGGTAGCCGCGGAGGTAGTTGTAAGGTGTAAGTAATGCAATGGCTCTGCATGATGTTTTTAATGTCAGAAGTGAGGCTGTGCAATTCCTGGTTAAGTATAGTGTCCAAGCTGATAGAGGGCCTGAAAGGAGCTTCCTCTGCTAACGATAACGTCGGTCCGCCTTTTTTCACATCAATCGCCGAGGGCATCTTCAAATCGAGGCTCTCTATCGTCACAGCCTCTGGCTCAGGCAAGGACTGGATTTTTTCTGGAGAAGAGCAGAGTAGAAACTCTCAGTAATGCTCCGACAATTGCAGTCAGGTCCGAAAATTGGGACATGGACAAAACTGTCACCCTTTTGTTCGAAACATCACCGCAAATGATTTGCAGTGTAAGGAATAAGATGTGCTTAAAATGCAGACCTTCGGCTTCAGGGTATTTACATGCAAATCTGGTTAATGGTATAGAAATAACACTTTGTATGCGGCTTCCACATTTTAAGAGACCAAAAAGTAATGGTACAAATTAACAATCCCAAATCAAACTTGCACTTTTTTATACTTGGTTCAGAGATCAACTTTTCCGACTGCTCACCATATGCTTTGACATAATCCTTCGCAGTTTATTATGGCGTGAAGTCTCTAATGACATCACAAGAGTGCTGGAATTCATTCCTGGTGCTGCTCTGCCAGGCCTCATTTTACTTACTACTTGTTCACGAGGCATAGTCCCTTCAGTTTTGTGTGTTCGGCAATTGAAACGCATGCTCAATCGCATTTACGTCAGTGACTGATTTTGGTCAATGTATAACAATCCACTTCTGTGATTAAACTCTTTGAATGCTGTTGCAATATGCTTTGGGTCCTTGTCCGTCTGCACTGTGAAGCGCCATTCAATCAGGTGAGAATCATTTGACTGAATATGAACAAATGATCAGATTGCCCAAAACACTTCAGAATCCATCCTGCTGCTACTGTCAGCAGTCCCATCATCAATAAATATAAGGAAAGCAGTTCCATTGGCAGTCATACATGCCCAGCTGGCCATGGAGCAACCAACTGTCCCATTACTTTTAGTCCCATAAAAAGTGGGGGGCATATCAATTGTACGAACTTCTTCTCCGCGGTTCACATGATGTGGATGTAAATACCCTAACATTCCAGCTGAAAGGCTGCATTTAAAACACAACTTGTGGTGGTGTCCAGAGCAGGAAAACCATGTACAATTGTACATGCACAATTTTACAATATAATTCATTTACCTTCATTTGTGGGTATGGCACAGCTTGTGCTGGCTGAGGTTTGAGCTTGGTCTACTGGAGAGCCTGCGCTAAAAGTACTTCCGGGACTACAGTCCATATCCTCCTAAAGCAAGAACATAAACATTCTTAGTTGACATGGGTTACACCACGCTGTGTTGTAGGGTAATAAATGTCAGAATCAACAGTTTACATCTCACCTCCGTGTAGTTTGTTTGTGATGCAGGCTCAATTTGTTTGCTAAAATCGGAGGCCGGAACAGCAGTCTCCACCCTCGTTGACCGTCCACTGTGTTTTGATTTCACAGATATTGATCCCTGAGCAACGGCTTTGTTGAGAGTGGAGAGCAGTATCTTGAGGAGACGCTGGGTCTCATGAACTGCTGTTGTATTGGTATTGCCACAAGTCCTCAAGTCTGTGTCATAGATACCCATGCTTTCCATTACCGTGGTCAGATTTTCACTCTGGCCGCCGTCTTCTCCCGTCTCTTCCGTTGCTGCCCCTAGGAGGAGGAACAAAATGTGTGCATTAAAAAATGGGGGCGGGGGAGGGGATAAAAAATTTAAAAAACAGTCGGTCGTGCATATATGTAAGTGCCACAAACATGAATAAAAAGCCAAGGCTCAAAAATAACTTTTTCCTTTCAGGAGCAGTTTTTGGCTCCATCTGAGAAGGGCTCTCTCATGTTGAGGATCAATTAGTTAGATTTTTACATAATCAACAGTTTCTGTTTCATTAATTCACATTGTGAAGAGTAGCAAACTGTATTTTCTTGTCTAAAAACATTCAGTGGGGCAATATCAAGCAGAATTACACTTCTCAGTTTAAATTAAGTTGCTTTGAATGCATTTTATTGTCTTTTAACGTAGCCAAGTTGATTTAAAAAAAAAAAAAACAACTACTGAAATGCTAATTAAAAAAATCTTGTGCAGATATAAAAAGTCCAAATCAAATCCCAGGAAGCTCTTGTGAATAAACGATCACTTAATTTTCAACAAACAATACTTATATACTTTAACAATTAAAGGTGTGCCGATTTGGCCACGTGATCGAAAATCTGAGTCGCCCACGTGATTTTTAGCTGATCAGGGATCGGGTAAAAATATGTTTTTTCTTCATTTCCAGAGTTCTTAAAAGTCACAAAGTGAAAAAATACTCCTATAAGCTATAAAGCGCTTGTCAAATGGAACAGTAATGGCTACATTTTTTTATATTACACAATGCTACTTTTGTTTTTGTTTGTTTTGGTGGGGGTGAGAGTAGCAGGTAGGAGTCAGTGTGAGAGTGAGGGGCCCGCGCGCGCACACACGCACAGTGCATTTTGCTACTCAGTGTGTTTTATTGGAGCACAAATGTATATTTTGACTTTCATATTGCCTGTTTCGAGCCTTGAACACCCCTGGTGAATTATCTTATTTTTTAGAGTTTATTTGAGTGCTACAATTTGTTATAATTAAGAAAGTTGCATCCTATGAAATAAATGACATTTTATTTTCAAATTTACAAAGGGGAGATGATCGTTTATGCCGTTTCATCAATTTCGCTTAAATGAAATCAATCAAGAATGTGACAACCTGGAAAACCTGTCCACACAAAACCATTTCCAAAAACGTATATCAAGAAAAGGGGTCAGATCATTAAACACCCTTGCGCACACAAAAGCACTTAAAATGATTAGAAATTGTGTGGATCACAGGTATAGTATTGCTGTAAGCCCTCATAAAATGCCAGAAAACAGTCAATCCGGATGTGCTGTGCAAAGAATTGAATGACTTGTGTGGACTGGCAACAAAGTCAAGCTTCTGCTGCATGTCAATTACCGCTCAAAGTATAGTTAAAAAAAAAAAATGTTGACTGGGAGTCTTTAACGACAGACTGTGTTGTGAAACTTCATGATTCTCCTTCACCAATATGGTAAAAAGGACACTAAATATATACATCACAAATCTTTCCTCACCCCTGCTGGGTTCACCGTTGCTCAACAGATCTGTGCGTTGATGTTTGTTCTTGTCTACCCGTTCATCGCCTTCAAATTTCCTCTTGAGGTTGTTGGACTCACAGGCTCCATCCTTTTTTTCCCTGCCGGGATCCTTGACTAGTGTTCTCTTGTGGAGTTGGATCAGTTTCAGTAACTGCGTCATCTTGTCTTTATCGTAGTCACTCTGTGACAGCTGCACCTTCAGTGGCTGTGGCTGTGACTGGGATTCAGTGTGGGACTCGTGCTGCAACTGCGCACCGTTTGAATGGGCCAACACTGGCCCCTGTTTGTTAGCGTCTGAAGCCGCGATCTCCTGCGCGAGTTGTTCTGGTGGTGGCCTTTCTGACAGTCTCTCAGAGCGGTCAGAGCCACCCCAGTCAGAAACCGGACTGTACTCTGCAGAGACGGGGGCAGCGACAGGTGGAGGGTTGCTTATCCGTTCAATTATGTCCTTTGCCTTGTTCACGGGTAAAGTGTAGTTGGATGAGTTGTGGATGTAAGAACGTAGTATGGCTTCCATGTTCCCTTTGGGTCTGGGTAAAGGAACCGTATATGGCCTGTCATCCACATGGTATTTGTAATCAGGCAAGATAAATGGCCGCACTCTTCCCGAGTCTATGCGACTTAAATAGTCCGTGGCTTGTCGCTCCACAGCGGAACTTGGGTCCTTGCCCGCATTTGGGCGCAAGGTGAAAAAGGCGTAATGCAAAGCAGGGATGAAACGTTCCATAGATGGGAAGTTGGTGTGTGGCCCTGCTGTCAATGGCTCTGGGTTGGAAAGTCGGGCTGCTACGACAGACAAAAACAAAAAGAATTAGGCATCATAATCAGTCAATCGTTCACTATCAATTTATGACTGAAGCTTTAAACAGGACCATTCCGTGATGAAACCTGAAATAACCTGGACAAATCTGACTACAAAAGTAAACACAATCATCAATCAAGAGTTTGGCATTCCATTACTTGGCCAGAACTTTATCCAGATCCTCACGTTAAATATAGATAAATGATAGTGAGTAACTCACAATACTTGAAAACGGCCCTTGACTCATGAAAGAGGAATATTGCTTGTAGGCTCTTTTCAACCCGCCCTCGCCGTTCTGCAAAAGAAACAGAAACTTTTAAAAAGCGTAAACCTCACCGGGGATAACAAGTAGGAGGCAAACAGAGTAGAGAATTATGAGAGAACAATAAAAAAAGAAATGCTTGTGGGCACCTTTGGACTCCATCATCTGTGCTGAGGACAACAGAAAGAGAAAGCCTCGGTCAAACAGGGACTTCACCAGCACCTACATTAGAAGGTAGACACGACAGGAAAAAAAAAGAAAAAAAGAAAAAGAAAAAAAGAAAAGCGTGCATGTCATTATCAAACCATTTGAGCCTGTTTCTGACTATTTCCATATGAGTTACAAGCTGACACTGTTTTCCTTTGGTAGTGCTTTCCCAAGAGACGCTGCACAGCGAGCAACGTGGCCCAAACTGAATGGTCAAGCAGTGTGTGAGGTTTTCATTAGTGGCCAATCAGTCACTTGTTTTGCTGCAATTCAAAATTTGAATCGTCGGCAAACAGCATTGCCACATTTCAGAAGAAACAGACGATCAAAAATAAACGCGAGGTTTCACAAAAAAAAAAAAAAAAAAAAAAAAAAAATGCTAACTACATTTATATTTTGACACGTACCAGTGGAACATAAGAGTCCCTCTGGTCAAAGTCCATGGATGCAGTCAGGGAATGGGGCAATCGATAATTGCCAGCAGCCTCTCAAGTTATCCATTTTCTCGCCTCTTTCTTCTTCTTTGTGGCCATTCACTTCCCCCTTGACAATTGCACTATGTTTTTGTGATTCCAGTTTTAAAAAATGATACAGAACAGTATATTTTACGCGGAGGCTCAAGTTTTTACACTGCAGCCTGTCGGTCAATGTGTGTGGTGCTTAATTGCTTTGAGACAGTGACTGTAAATTATTATTATTATTATTTTTTTTTTTTTTACTTTCGGTCTCTTTAACCGTCAACAAATTTTAAATAGAAAAGAGTCGAGACTATAGCATTGGCTTCTTTAATTTAAAAAGAGGCTAGTAAAATTCCTCATCATGTTGGAAAACATCATTTGAAGGAGGCAATACCATTTTGTGATTCGCAACATTAGGGGCTTCCAGGTAGATTAGTGTAACTCACCATCCGGTCTTTCTCCAGTTTGTTTATCAGTGCCGCCAGACTGCCACTGGTCGGTTTTCCTTTTCCTTCTGTAACCTCAAAAAGGCTGCATGACATCCCATACTTCACCACTGCAACAAAGGAAAATACATTTTGGGATGGAAAGTAACAAGCTTCCTGTCATGTATCTTATCAAATTTTCTCATAGCACGCACCACCCACATCATTGTACGTTACATTTGCAGAATCTGTGCGTTGCTGACCTTCCCGTGATGTGCTGTAGGTGTCCCAAGCGAAGAGCACTGCGGGAATCTTTCTCTTCACCTGCTCAAGCAGCATGCCTTGATTCATTTCAAGCTTCTCGGGACTGTCAAATGAAAGCAACACTCCATTTTTACTAACCAAAGTTTTCATAGCATAAACTCGAGGTCTAAACAATTAATCGATTAAGAGACAACTATTTTAAAAATCAAGTAATGATTCAGAGCCATTGTTTAGCTTAATAAAAATCTAAATTCTCTGATTTCTGTCTTCCTTCACGAAAGCAGGCTGATTATCTTTGTGTTTAATCAAAATAAGACCATGGCCAACATCTACTTTTACTTTGGAAAACAATAACCAGCCCAGTAACTGAATCAATTTCAAAATATTGGTCTGTACATCAATCCCTCTAGTGTGTTATTGCTTAATTGTTTAGTTGTTTAAAAATAAGATTAACAATTGAACAACTATGATTGTTGAATAAACTCTAATCGAAGAAAAAACATTTTGTAATTCACTTTTATGCAAAATAAAATTGGATCAGATTATTGCCTTAATCAATGAACTTATCGATAGCATAATTCATTTTAAATGTTTTGATAGTGAGGGCCTTAATAAATGCCCCTCACTGCACGTCAACATGCCCTATTTGACTACGTGACTACACCATTGTTTGTGTTCACCATGGATACAGCTGGACTGCCAAATTGCGCAATGCAAAGCAGCTTTCCCACAATGCAACATTATGGGACGTGGCTGCCATTTTGGACTGGCTTTCTCCATGGTGAATGTAAACAGTACTGTAAATGAAAATACTGCGACATTGCACAGAAATTGACTCCAAACAACAGTGTTAATACTTAACATAAGTTTTATTGTGTATTTCTACATTATAGTATTCATTTTTTAACCACACAGTGATAAAAACAAAAAAAACATGTCATTCTCCGACTCGAACAGACTAATTGCATTTGCATTCATTTCAACGGAAAACACGATTTAAATGCATAAAGCGAGGTTCCACTATATATGCTGTCTACTCACAGTTTGAAAGGAAGGTAGGCCCGCGAAGATGATCGTAAACGGATCGGGAACAACTCCTGGCCCTTGGCTACCAGCGGACCACTCCACACAGAATAGGAGTGCCGCCCTGCAATTGCATCAAATGCGGGTCATCACTTTAAAAATTAAACAGCGAGCGAGACTAGATTTTAAGACTTTGGTTCAGCTCTAAAACAGTCTAGAGCAGGGGCGCTCATAACGGTGATTTGGATTGGGTAGATTCGAGACAGCATGGCTTTACAAAAACTCAAGACATCAGTCTATCATCAGACCTCAATCTAACATGTGCCGCGTGACTGAGATACAGGACAATTAATCAATTGACATGTTTTCTGACACAGATGTTAGCACAAATGCACCTTCAACTGCTTCAGTAGCTGAAAAATTCAAGGACGCTACTGGTACTGAGTGGCCCAGTTACTCTAGTTTATTTCGATTTACGTAACTTAAAGGGTGAAAAGAAAAATTAGGGAGCAATGTCATATTCTAAAAGTGTTTGCCTCATCTGCAAGTGTACCACTTCTATTCAAAAGGGACATTTAAAACAGAATTCTTGGATTGTCCATTTAAAAAAAAAAAAAAAAAAAATCCCTGTTACATGATTGAGATTAAACCCAGAGCTCATGGACAATTTAGGAAATTTCTCACAGAGGCAAAGTAACCTAACATGAAGAAATGTGCTTCTTGACAGCGTTATTTGGCTAATTGTATTTAGCAATCTTTATGAATTAATTAATAAAAATCTCTCAAAAACCTGGTCCGCGAGATAAGACTAGAGATATTTTTTTAAATCAGTGTCCAAAATATGTTTAGAGATACATAAAGCCATCTATGATGAAAATTTGCTGTTGGCCTTGTAAATCTTTGAAAGGATATGCGGGCACCGTGTTGGAAGTGTGCAGATGCTATCTGGACTAAAAAAAAAAAAAAAAAAAAATCCCTGTTACATGATTGAGATTAAACCCAGAGCTCATGGACAATTTAGGAAATTTCTCACAGAGGCAAAGTAACCTAACATGAAGAAATGTGCTTCTTGACAGCGTTATTTGGCTAATTGTATTTAGCAATCTTTATGAATTAATTAATAAAAATCTCTCAAAAACCTGGTCCGCGAGATAAGACTAGAGATATTTTTTTAAATCAGTGTCCAAAATATGTTTAGAGATACATAAAGCCATCTATGATGAAAATTTGCTGTTGGCCTTGTAAATCTTTGAAAGGATATGCGGGCACCGTGTTGGAAGTGTGCAGATGCTATCTGGACTATACATCCTTGTTTAGTTGATTCCTCGTAAGTAATCAGAGTAAGATCATTTAAAAAAGTGTCGTTACCCTGGTGTGGTATGACAAACTTCTAACACTCACAGTCTAGATAACAAAAAACAAATTATGCGTGGGTGAGTCTATTACAAACTCATGAATATCAAACATATGTTACCTCGACTTCCTTCAGAGGAAATAACACCAATCCTATTAAACAGAGAATCACAAAGCCTGTTAAGAAACAAAAGACCCCAGGGGAGACGTTACAGATGTTTTTCACAAGGAACGTTTTACCTGTGTGTCGAAAAAGGAGTGGCTGCACCATCCTTGCCTTTGTACTGAAAGGAAACCACAGCATAGGGGCACACTTGCCTGGGGCGTGCTTTGATTTCATCAAATGCAAATTCGAAAAAATATTGCTGGAAGACAAAAGGACAGTCCAGTTGAAACCAGAAAACAAAGTCAGGCAGCGGATAGCGTCCGTACCTGTGTGAGCTCAAATGCTCTGTAGGACAGCAAGGACGTAACCCGATTGGCACTTTTGGACAAATGACAGTCAAACTTGGTTGCCGGTTCCTTTGCGTTGTTTGGCATGTTCTCATGGATGTGCTTGACTCTTCCCTGAAAAGACAAAACAGCCACCGTGAGATTTGGGACCCTGAAGATGTCAAGAAGCACGGTAAAAATGAAATACTGACCCTCATCACTTTAAAAATGATCATGTCTCCAGCTGAACCAACTTCAAAGGGATTGATTTGTAATAAATCCGAGAATTTGGAGAGATATACACCTACAATGAAATATGAACTGGACTGAGAAACAAATTTCACATAGGAAGGAGTATACAAGCAGGCAGCTGTCGCTTATGCAGTCATATCACTTACCCACTGATGCATTTCCGACTGTTGTTATCCTTGAGTGTCCCACGGACAAACCCTTCTCGCAGATCCACTGAAGCTAAAACAGTCAAGGGAACATTGTTGTCACCAGATCAAAATTCTCATTTTCCAACAGTAAAAGCAGTAGAATCACAGAAAACAAAAGGTGGACCATTGACCACAACATCAACGCTACTTCCATTAGCCTATCAATGGCATTTGGGAATCCGAGTTAGTATTAAGCTATCGAACTTTTGTTCGACCAATTGATGTGGTTTGGTTCTTAAACAGGACTCGAAGGTTTGATCACTACGCTCGCTAATGCTCCCATTTTTTTACAGGTGTGTGCTCGTAAAAATTTCATCTGGTCACACAGCATGTGTGCACGTTTTAAAATAATACCGGTACATAACGTGAAGACGCTGCAACTGTGTGTCCGCCTGTCAAGACGGCAGACAGAAGGTGGAACAAGTGTCTGGTTAAATCCTTCCTGTATAAATTGAATAAATACATTGCAAAATCTGGATGTTAACGGCCATCTAACTTAACTAGCACCATTTTCTTAATAAAGGACAGCTTTCCATCAAGCACGCTCCAAGTCACTGAGGCTCTCACAACCCGCACGTGTCTATTTTTAGTGGTAAATATGGAAGTATAAATACTGCTGTAAAACACAAGATGCATATGGTTGGTTGAGTCTCAAACTGTTAACCTGTACGAAGCGATCGCGATCTTAAACATTGACACCTCTTGCGGTCAGAGACGCGAGGTGCATTCAAATACAGTCGGGCATTTCAAACAGATAAAAGTCCCTCAATGCAGTAAAGGTTAATAGCGACAAGTCTCTCAATAACTTAGGCTTTCTATCAACCAATAGAAGCTGACATATATCAAGAATCGTGGGAGTGAAATTACTTTAACTATATTGCACAATGCTCTATTCTAAGGTGACAGATTTGTCTAATTAACTAGAAGTGGGTGTTGCAACGTATTGCAGATTAAACTTGAGTTGTTCAGAGCTGCCTTAGGTGGTGACGCGCCACACTTAGTGTTATTGTGACACTTTTGAGTGTCGTATAACATGCAACCCCACAAAGGGAATGTAAAGCTTGGAATCATGCCAACAAACATTCCTCGTCCCCTTTGCACCCCCTGATGTGTGAACAAGAAAGTGGAGAAAGAAAATCCAAGGTGTTTTACCTTGGATTTTTCTGGGTATAAAAAGCAGTATGATTCTGTCAGTTCTTGTTCTGTCCGCCCTTCTTGCTTCATCTCTCTCCTCTTCTCGATGAACTGAAACACAGTCGAGAGAAGAGTAAATCAAAACATCACAAACGTACCAAAAGAAGTCCACCTTGGATTAGGCGTAGAAAAAAAAGTAGTGTGTTTCCGGTAACCCGACCGACCGAGAATTTCTACGTCGAAAAAAAACTGTACGGTCGGCATTTTTTTCAAACAACCCTCTACATTTTTGTGTAGAGGGTTTATGTCGGTGAAAATTCTCGCGATATTCACGTTGAGCGCATGCGTCGTTTGCCCTGTCGTCTGTCAACAACATTGAAACATGGCGGCGGCCGCGATCTCCGACGACAGTTTAAACAGCGTTTTCTGTGTTACAGTCGCATGCTCGCACCCTAATGTTAAGAAAATAGCATCCATTGATGTATCGAAAAAAATTCTGCAAACTATTTGATGAACACCACGGGCCGAGTAAAAACCGAGGGCGGAGGAGGACGGCAGCGGCCCCCCGAGTCCGGAGCGGGGAGAAAGCTAAATCGGTGGCGCCGACGGCGGCGCCGGCGGCAGCGCCGGCGGCGGAGCGGCGAGGTCAATGTCTTCTTGTTTTATGTTTATTTTGTTTACATTTTTGATGGAAAAAAAAATATTAAAAAAAACAACTTTTGTCCGACCTACCGACCCTATGCTGAAATTTCATGTTACCGGAAACACACTATCTTTTTTGTTTGGCCTTACAGGGCCAGTAATTAATTTTTCCCATCTGTCCACACAGCTATTTGTGACGTTAAAAACACGCACATTTCTACTGAACACATTGTGACAAGTGGAACCTGATCTGAAAGGTGGACCAACCTCCTTCTCCAGTAGCTCGTTGTGAATGAGCCTGGCCTTGCTGTAGGAGAACGTTCCTCTCGATGACACATCCAGGTAAAAAGAGGAGAGTAGTTTTACAAGGTCGTCAAATTCCCGGCTGTCAGGTGGCAGAAGCTGGTACAACCCTGTGTACAAAGGTAGAAAAAGGGGATCAGCATGCAGCAGAGAAGTATTATGAGATTCTTTCTCAACAAACGGCTGCAAAATACACACACACACACACATATATATATATATATATATATATATATACACACACACATATATATATATATTTTTTGGGGGGGGTACCTTGACATTCACAGTAGCGACATGAAAAGTGACCATGTTTAGAGAATTTTCGAAAAATCATGGACTGAACACTTCAAATGCCTCGAGCATCATGATAAATAAATTGATGGGAGGGAAAATTGATCACAAAAGTCCAAAAATTACTTTACTGCACTCACTGCTTCTGACAAATGTTCTATTTGCATAATTTAAGATGAATTTTTAGGACAGTAAAAACCTATTCAGGTTCAAGGAGATATATAAAGAAATCATGACATTATACAGTTTTACTCTATTTTGAGGACATTTTGGGACCAGATTTTCTATAGGTGGTAGCGCACAAAATATTCCCCAACAAGGCCACGGTTTCAGATACAAAAAACTCAATTTCTCCGAAACCCATCATTAAATTTTCTAAATTTTTGGTGTGCTATGATGCAATTGAGGTGGCCATTTCAACCACGCTTTTCGAACATTCATTCATTCATTTTTGGGGAGATGATTCCTATACAACCATCAAATGGAACAAGGAACCAAAAAAGCTTGGATTCAACCACATAAACACAGCAAATAGGTTTAAACCCCGGACTCAGTGTTATGATTCCTGTTTTGTCCATAGTGAGGTACGGGTAAAATATAAGGCTTTCAGCTTCTTGCATGATACTTGACAGTTTCACATGAAACAGATGGTAATTTGGGAAAATATGGCCACATTGATGAAGCCTTCTGTGTACAGTATACACAAAGAGCTAGTGGAAGCTTTGTGACAACTACAGCCTGTGGGAGTAATTTATACTTTCATATTTTCTGAGACCATTGGGTAATCTATGTTGATAATGTGTCTTGGACTTGCAAAGAGAAATTTGGATCTCCATTCAGCTCAAATGACAATCTTCACAGTGCTGTTATAGGAAGAATACTTCATCCCAATCAATGGGGTCAATGTCATTGTCTGACACCCGCAGTTGCAATATTTAACTCGACGGGTCAAGAGGACCGGTAAAAGGTCAACAACCCAAACAATGTGGGCAGGCTAATTTGGAAGGGCAGTCCTCAAAAAGAAACTTAAAGGCACCTTCACTGCAACGCTGCTGGCACTTACTCGAGACACGCAGGCTGCCATTCTAATGTTACATCGTGCCAAAACAAATGACTTGTGCGTGCATTCCACTGGAAAAGTACTGTTTCGATCTAGGACGGCGAGCATTTCGTCAGTTAGCGCGGGCAATCAGCAAGTTAGCAGGCTAGCAACATGCAGCAGAACCTCCACTCGAAAGACGGTACACGCTCTGTTCCAAATAACAGCGGTATGGCACCACCTTTCCGTTCTTTCTTCCTCGGGATTTGAAAAGGCTTCCGTGGCCGCTCCTCGCTTCGTCTCTGGCCCGGCGTCGGGGAGCCGGTCCAGCTTCGGGCGTCCGCCTGCACGCTGTTGTGGCGCTCAGGGGTTTCTTGCTCGGGTATTACACAGTCTCCACAGCCAGGCTGATCGCCATTTTGGTTGGCTGTGGCCGAGGTGGCGGCTGAAATCTTCTGGGGCTCGCCACCTTCCTGGTGTAGGCTGCCCAAATCAGTGTAATCCGACTCCCTTTTCCCCATCGTGCTGGGGTTTAGGGCCATTTTGGGGGCGCCGTGCACGACTTGGCGCGATGCAACGTAAGCCAGTAATGAATATGAGCCTCTTGTCTCACACACATACGCCGCTCCTCAGCCTGCCTCCGCAATTGTGAAAATGACGTAGACGTTCTTCTCCACTGCATTACGCCAGCGTCACCGTGTTTACATACCAGCAAATCTGCGCCACCTAACGTCAGAAAGAAGAAGTGCCGAATCCAATGACAGTTGAGAATCGAGAAGCGTCCGGCCACTGGGGTGTCCAAACGCCAGACCGAGGGCCATTTGCCTCTTTCTGGGCCGTGTACTTATACTGATTCGGTTCAATTCAATTCAATTTATTCACCTTTATGTAAGATCGTGGGCCTCATTTATAGTGACGAACAAACAAAAATAAAAAAGCAAAGGTCATGCCCAGGACATAGCCCAGCTGGTCTACAGTCACCACTGGCTGTGTTGGTCGAAGGTTAGGAATGCATTTGGCTGTCCAAATACCCTGTTACAGGTTATTTTTAACTAAGCGGCATCAAGGTTCTATGTTTAACTGGATAAAAGGTGGATCAGTTGGTTGTCTGTTGTTGCTGTTGTTATATGTTCTATTGTTTGTTGCATGTGTGACTTTCTTTTGCTACAATGCTACAATAAATAAAAATAAACATTCATTTTAATTAATTAACTTGAATTAAGTTGAATATTGCAATATTATTTGAAAGTATTTGTTTTTTTTGTGTGTATGAAAGATGTTTAATATGAATGTGCTTTTATTTTAAAATTGAAAAATATTTGAATGTTACAAGATACATTAATTTTGGTCAAATAAATAAAGAATAAATAGAAATATATACTGAAGGTTATACTATATGACAATAATTCTGATAACTTTTTGCTTTCACGAACAACAAACTAAGATATTGACTTTTTTTTTCTTTTCGATAGATTTGACTGGAGTCGCTGATAGAGTAGTGGTACACTTGCCTCACTTGTGTGTGGTCAGCGTGGGATCGGTTCCCACTCAGTAACAGTGTGGATGTGGGTGTGAATGATTGATCGCCTCTATGTGTGCCCTGCGACTGACTGGTGACCAGTTCAAGGTGTAGTCCACCTTTCACCTGTAATCAGGTGGGATTAGGCTCCATCACTCCCTGTGACCCTGTTCAGCATAAGATAAATTGAAAATGAATGAATGGATGGATGAATGGATACATTTAACTGTTTGGCCTATGTAAGCATACAGTACAATGGCTTGGTTTTAGCATTGCTAAGCCACAAAATGATGCACCCTTCTCTTTCTTCAAATATTCTGTATATGTCCTGAAGTGGCAAAATGTTTGGCCAATCCCCCATTAGACCTTAGTACAGTATACTCTCAAACTAGTGGCCTGGAGGCCATTTGCGGGCCACGGGATGACATTTTGCAACCCCCTACTTGACATCTAAGTTTAATGTTAGTGTGGGCCCCATCTTTTTTTGCTGTGTTGTTGCCATGCATGTTTTTTTTTTTCTTTTAAAAATCACTTATGGGCTACCATAGCTCAGGCTCATGACAACCTTCTGTTGAAAGTAATTCTGAGGTGACACCAAGTGGAAGGAAGGAAATATTAAATCTTGTCACTCAGTCACAGCGGTGCTCAAGAAAGCAGACGTCATTACTCAACAAGACATGCTGAGGTGTATGGAAAATATACCAGGGATCTGAGACAGATAAGATAAGATAAAATAAGATAACATTTATTTGTCCCACACTGGGGAAATTTGCAGTCTACAGCAGCAAAATTGGGGGGGGATAGAAAAAACAAAACAAAGTGTTCCATGCCCACCTCCTCCAGAATGTCCAGGGAGCAGCCCAGGACAGAACTGGCCCTCCTGACCAGTCGCTCCAGTCTCTTTCCGTCCCGGGCCGAGATGCTGCCTGACCAGCAGACAATGCCATAATGGATGGCCGAAGCCACCACCGAGTTGTAGAAGGTCTTAAGGAGTGACCCCTGAACCCCAAAAGACCTTAGTTTCCTGAGTATCTCTTCACTGGCTCCCTATACATTTTAGAGTTATTTTCAAGATCCTATTATTTGTTTTCAAATCTCTAAATGACCTCGCGCCACCTTACCTCTTTGAGCTCATCCGCCCCTCTACACCTGCCCGTCGCCTCAGCTCTGCGAACCAGACATTATTGGAGGTACCGAGAACTAGGCTGAGGCTCAGAGGGGATCGAGCCTTTTCTGTTGCTGGTCCCTCTCTCTGGAATGACCTCCCACTGAACATTCGGCAAGCCTCCTCGCTGCCCATCTTTAAAACCCGCCTCAAAACTCACTTGTATTCTTTGGCATTTGACTCAGCATGACTCAGATTTGTTTTTGGTTTTGCTGTTCAGTGCTTTCTACCGTCTTTGTTATCGATTTGTTGCTTTACTGTTGTATATGTTAGTTGTTCCATGTACAGCACTTTGTATGCAGCGATGGCTGTTTGAAAGTGCTCTATAAATACAGTTGAGTTGAGATGAGTTGAGTAGGAAGAGGCGGCTCTGTCCCTTCCTGATCAGGGCGCCCGTGTTGGTCGACCAGTCAAGTTTATTGTTGAGAAGAACACCCAGGTACTTGTAGGAGGTTACCCTACTCAGAGAGAGAGAGAGAGAGAGAGAGAGAGAGAGAGAGAGAGAGAGAGAGAGAGAGAGAGAGAGAACCTGGTTACCATTTTGTTCACGTGAGAAGAACACCCAGGTACTTTCTCCAGCGGCCCCCCACATAAATAGAGTTTGAGACCCCTGGTGTCCAGTCTGACCGGCACTTGCAAAGACGAAGGACCCCATATGCAAGGGGAAATACTGTATTTCGAGACGAGAAGTGACTGGAAAAACACAAACATGTAGTGTGAGCGTGTTTGTCGAAGTATGTGTTTGTGTGTGTGTTTGCGCGCGAATGTGTGTTGGGATGAGGGATGGGGGGATACCCCGGTAAATGTAGAGGTTCGGAAGCAACTCCTTCACTTAAACGTCATAAAATGCACTCTGAAATGTACTTATAGGCACACTGCTTTATTTTGGGTTATTTATTGATGCATTTTATTTGTTTGTTTCTTTAGGTTTTTTTTTTTTTTTTGGTTTTTGGATTCATTTTGCTTTATTTATTTGTTACTTTCAAATTGGAATAAAATACCTGTTTTGATATCTTGGCTAACTTGGCACACACACGCGCGCGCACACACACACACACACACACACACACACACTCACACACACACGCATTAAATAAGCACACCATATCGCCCACTTTTATTTACATGTTCATACTGAAAAGAGGGTAAAATGACAGATTTGCATCTAGAGGTACATGTAGTCTGACAGGAAAATGACTGACAGTTCTTGCATGAGCTAAAAAAACAACATAAAATGCAATAACCAACTATAAAAATTGAAAGAATTTAAGACACCTTACCTTTCCCCAACTTTCTTCCAACTATACTGTGCAGCAGGGCTCCTATACAGTGCTACTATATGGGTCATTCCAGAATTGGAGGACATTTTAGATTCAAAATTCTTGAAAAATAAACGTTCACTTTTCTGCTTTTCTGCTACATATTCATCAATAAGAGGTAATACACTATCAAAGGCTTGATTAGCTCAGTTTATACCAGTGGAACAATTTTTATTACAGTATATCATTTAATTGGTGTTTACAATACCTGTCACTGTAATAACAGTAACAGGGTTGCAAATCCTGAGTAGAAGCTGGCTTTTTAGCAAGCTGTTACTGCTGACCAAGTGGATGAGTTTATTTTTGTAAAAAATAATTGTCTTATTCTGTTCATATGCATAACAATGTTGCATGAGGTAAAGTGAGACATTCGATTAAGGCTATTTTATAAAAGTGTGAAAAATACAAAAGTGGACGTAGCTTTGTTGCATCCATTCATTTGGAAAACTGATGATTTCAAGTCCAGCGTATCATGTGATTCAGTGCTTTCCTCTTCTTCGACCATGCCAAAATGGTTATTATGGTAACAGGGTTGTGTGATTGTTGTGTGACACACCTACGATGAATAAGAATGATAAATTCAATTTTCAACACCGCTTATCCTGTACAGGGTCGGGCGAAAGGCAGACGACACCGTGAACTGGTCGCCGGTCAGTCGCAGGGCACACATGGAGACCACAAATAACCATTCACATCAAAGATGGTGCCGCGAAATGGCTGCCTTTACAGCAGCTCCTGCCCACTCACCCATTTTTAATAATTTTGCTGCTGTAAATTGGGAATTTCTCCATTGTGAGACAAATAAAGGTTTTCTTCCATCCATCCATCCATCCATTTTCCGATCCGCTTATCCTCACAAGAGTCGCAGGGGGTGCTGGAGCCGATCCCAGCCGTCTTCGGGCAGTCGGCGGGGGACACCCTAAACCGATTGCCAGCCAATCGCAGGGCACACAGAGACGAACAACCATCCACGCTCACACCTAAGGAAACATTTTTTTGAGTGTCCAATCAGCCTGCCATGCATGTTTTTGGAATGTGGGAGGAAACCGGAGTACACGAAGAAAACCCATGCAGGCCCAGGAAGAACATGCAAACTCCACACAGGGAGGCCGGAGTTGGAATGGAACCCGGTACCTCTGCACTGTGAGGTCAACGTGCTAACCACTGGATCACCGGGCCGCCCTGAAGGTTTTCTTATCTTATCTTATCTTATCTAAATTCTCACTGACACTGAGTGGGAACGCATCTCATGCTGCCCACACACAAGTCAGGCGAGTGTACCACTACACCAGGGGTGTCAAACTCATTTCACATGGTGGGCCACATACGGCCTCGGTAGATGTCAAGTGGGCCGGACCATTAAAATGATACAATACTTTGTTATAAATAACCAAAACAATATGTCTTTCCTTTGTTTTGGTATAAAGAAGCACAAGAACATTAGGAAAATGTTGAAATTTAATGAACATATCTTTTACAAAACATTTCATGAAGCACCTTACATTTCCTTCGACAAATGTGCAATTTACTTTTATCATTCACATATATGCATTGCAACTGATCCCACTGATTGTACAAACTTTAACAAGTAATTGGTATTGAAAAATATAGTAATGCACTTTAAAATTAAACGAGATTTACAAAGAAAGGAAGTTTTAAACCATTTACACGTGCATATA